GGAATGAACTGTGCTCCATTAAGGATGTGGTGTGAGAAGCAAAGGAACAAGTAAGCTATTGGATTATGGGAGTCCTGGTAGCACTTTTGCACCCCCAGCCCAAAGAACCCGAATTCTAGGAATTTGGAATAGGAATTTGGTTGAAGACTGACCTGTAACTCCCAACAAGGGGATTTTACCAAATGTGAGTTCTGCTGTCACTGCAGCTTTGTAATCATGGAACAATCACCTAGAAATAGCCCCAAGGAAATAGAGAAGGTCTGAATTTCATGTGTTGAATTGAGTTACCTACTAACTTTCAGCCACATGCTTCTGATTTTCACCTATTCTTGCTTCATTTAGGTCTTTTTGTAGTCTTTGAACTATTGTTTTACAGACCAGACACAGTTGAGCAATTGCAGTAGAAGAAGTATTGATGCAACTCAGGGGCTGACCTATCTTTTGATTAGGTGAAGAGTAGACTGCAGACTTGGCAGAACTTGCTGTTTTGCATTAATTGGAATGAGGAATTGCTCCCTGCTCTGCATCTCAGCCATATTTAAAACTAATCTTGGTTTTTGAGTTTCAGTGCATTTATGTATTATACAGATTCTACTAGTTTAACATTTAGCTTCATTTTTTTCCCTTTAGTTAACTGGTTCAAATACTTAAGTTAAATGACCAAATACATTATCATTATTGGACTAGTATAACTTAGCATTGTTTCCTTTTCAAATGACCAGCTCTTGACTGAAATTTGCCACCTTATTTTTCACTGTCAATTTTATTCTTTTTGAGAAGCCAAATGTATGACAAAGTGCAGCTTTTTGTATTCTGGATAAATGAAAGAATATAAATATATATTTTTAAATTACAGTAACTGACCAGTATTGCAACAAAAACACATTAAAAAATAAAAAAACAAGATAAAATATTACAATTGGTGATGGGTTCGTCAATGGATAATCAAAGTGCCTAATTTTACAGGCAGTATAACAAAATTTAGCTATGTTCAAGGAGACTAAATTATACTGATCTGATAACAGCTGTACATAAAAAAGATCAGAATTTCTCAGTTGTTTTACCAGGTAAGGAGTTATAAGGCAGGTCCTTGAGTCCTTATAGAGGGTACAGTGTAGCAGGACATGAGCTGTAGTTTCAGGAGCCCCTTGTCCACAGGGGCACAGTCACAGCTCATAGGGGACTTTTTTGTATCAGCCCTTCAAAACTGCTGTGGGGAGAGCATTGAAGCATGTTAAAGTTAGTGCTCTTTGGAATTTGGAAACAGTTATGTGATATAAGTATCTTGTTGGTTTGTAAAAGGGGCTTGGCTGCTCAGAAAAATGTTCTTAGGTACAGCAGACTGGTCCTGTTGGGCTTCAAGGTCTTTGATATGTTGTTTAAATGTGCTCAATGTACTCTCATAACCCATTATTAGGAATGCCTCCCTGGAAAAGCTGAGATGTTGAAGTTTTTGTGACCTTGTCCTGAATCATGTTGATTTGTAATTGTCCTCAATAAGGAAGGAATTCAAACCTGTGGAAAAGAACAGTAACTTCAACCAATGTGCTATGATACAGGGCCATGCACTTTAGATAGCCCCGCCTCCCTCATATGCTACATTTAGAACCAAAGGGTTCTACCTGGAATATAGCCCTTAAAAATTTAGATTGGATCCTTTCAAGAGGAGTAAAGGAAGTGTAATGTCCTTGCTGGGCACCAAAAAGTAGTTATGTATGAGCCTTAGCTGAATAAAGCTTCAGTGGTGCTGGGATATGCTGTGCTCCTCTGGTGAAGTGAAAAGATTGACTTGCGGCTGCTGTTTTTTGAGCATTTTGTATGACATAATTTTGGTGGGCACCATGTTTGGTGGAGCTATGGAAAACCATGCCCAAAATATTTAAAGCAAGTTCACTTGTTCAGTACTCTGGCCATTTATCCGCCAGGCATGCAATTTAGGTCTCTTTGCAAAGATTAGGATCTTAGTTTTACTATAGTTGATTTCAAGTACTTCCTCAGAGCAGTAATTGGCCAGAGGATTTAGAGCTCATTTAAGTCCAATTAACGTTTGTGATAGAAGTATTATGTCATCTGCATACAATAGTTGCAATATGTCTGTTTGCTAGTTTGGGGGGGGATGATGTTCTAATTGATTTATTTTGACCACATGTGGATTTATGTTCAGATTAAACAGCAGGGGAGATAAAATACATTCCTGCCTCACTCCTCTGTAAGTTGGAATCTCATTAAGGTGGTGGCCTTGCATATTGCATCGAACCTTGATTCTAGAATTCTTATAAAGATTATGCATCAGCAACAGTAATTACTATCAATGGTAGTATTCACAAACTTAATCCATAGCCTTGCTCTGGGAACTAGATCAAATGCGGACCTAAAATCAATAAATGCAGTATATAATACTGAACCTGTTTTAGGTATGTATTTTTCTGCCAGGTGTTGAAGTATAAGGACATGTCCATAGATAGAATGTCTGGTCCTGAAGCCCGCTTGCTCGTCTGCCAACATATGCTCTAGATCGATTCAGTCAACTAATTTTTATATTTGTAATTTGTCTGGTATAGACCTTACTTATTATATTTAAAAGGCTAATAGGCCTATAATTAGCAGGCAGGAAAGAGGTACTGTCAATCTTGGAAGTGTGCTGTTCTCTCTTTGTGGCTAAGATTTCAGTTGGATACTGAAATAGTAATTGTCTTTATGAACAGGACTCCATAAATCTTGGTGCCATGATTGACCCTTCCTCCACATTGTTGATGTAGGAAATAACTGTCTTCTAAGTTATCCATAAGCTGTGGTAACAAATAAAATGGAGAGAAAAGATTTCTCTTATTTTTGTTACTGTTCGTAACATAGGGTAGATCAAAGATTTTATTATTTGGATGATACAACAAAATATAACTTCTTGCCAACCAAAAGAAAGTGCTGTTCTGATTATGTCTGAATATTATCTATGCTTCATCTATAGTTTGTTTAGTGTCTTATCTGAAATGGGCACTCTGGTTCTTCTGGGAACAAGCCAGAGAGCGAAGCCAACATTTAGTGTTCTTTGTCCAATATATTCCAAAAGAAATAAAACAGAGTCTGTAGTTTGGATGATGCAAAACTGAATAGAGCTGTTTGCAGCTTGTTAATTGCACTTCTAAGAAGATTCAATAAGTGTGTCAGAGCCACAGGAACCAAGCATGTTCCTCATTCATCATTAAGTCATAATTCAGCTTCTACAGAGTTGACCATGTTAACATTTTTTACTCCACTTGGTTTTCTCTGAATCGCTGAACAAAATTAAATATTCCCTTTCCTTGAATCTTCTCTAGGAAGCAGTGACTTGGGGAGGAGTAGAAGGGGCAGTGTCATCTACCAATAGTAGTTGCCTTGGAAGTGTGAGTCTCTTAAAGGGGAAATGTGACCTTGTACCAGATGAAGATACTTTAGTGCAGTTGTTATGTTAAATGAATGTGTGCCTGTACAAAATTGCTCAAAGATAAAAGTAAGTAAATAAATAGATATAAATGTATATGGGTTAGAGAGTTGGTGATGGCTCAGGAACAGTTTACTTTCATGGACTTGTTTTTTGAAAGTCATAGAATGAAGTTAAAGCTTCTCTGCTGTGCTGTCAACAAATTATGAGATATTTATGAATATGGGGTATCCTTTTCTAGATGAATTATATTTGCATGGCTTTTTAATTGCCTATACTCTCAATGTATTATGGTGTAATGTCTTTTAAACATTACCTGAGAAATATTTCTGAAAATTGAGATTATTATAGGATTACAGTGAAACAGAAGTTAATTCAGTTTCATAGGCTGAATCTTTCCGAAAAATGTTTATATCATAAATGTTTGGAGTGCTTGGGACATTTGAGACAGGAGCACGGCTATAAAATGATATCAAAATATGATATGGGTAATAATGAAAAGAGAAACTAGGAAAGCTAGAAGATAAGTAATTTTTCCAAGTATTGGAACAAATCTTGAGTCTTTAAACAAAAATCCATGCCTCTAAATCCACAGTTCTCTCATATGGTTGTGATTCATTCAGAACTTCATCTGCTTCATACTTCTTGTGCACAAGTATCATATTCCAGGCCATTCCTTTTCTCTGGTTTATGGAAGACTCCCTCCTCACCCTTAAGACCTTTACTTGTTGCAACACCTATCATCAGATTGTCATTCTTTTCTTCCCACTCCATACATCACCTCCTTCCAAATCTGCCCACTTATGGCTTCTATACCCTCCCTTCCAAGTCAATACTCTGGCCCAAATTTAGAGGCAGCAGCTTTTTTCCCTTTTCCAAACAATGTTTTGGTAAGTGTTTGAAGATGGCAAAACTCTTGCCTACATTTGCCTCTCCTTTTCGTTTGAAGAATGTTTTAGGTCAAGGATAGTTCCAGAGAGCAGTGCTTGGAAACTAATATAAATTATTTAAAAGGAATCAGGTTTCCTGGATCTACTTATTGAGTTCAGAAGCAAGTTTGGGGGAGGAAAGATGGTTTCCATGTTACTTTGATGACATTTGAAAAAATCAGGAGGGCAGGCATCTAGGAAAGTATCTAATGATAGGATGCCCATAACATCCCATTTTTTTATTCCAGGATTTTATAGTCAGGTTGATTTGGAACATTGTGAGATGTCATCTTCTTAGGCTAAAATGAAATGTTACAGAAGCCTCCTTCTTTCTGGTAACCTCTAGCAAATTGAAATGCTTACCATGAGCTGTAATAAAATGGTAGTCAGAGAAGGTAGGAAACTAGGGATTTGTTTGTTGATTGTATATCCTATTTTTCTTCTACAGGGCTTGGTTGATGCCTCATATTTTTTTAGCTTTATGTACATTGTGGGGGAGATGGCAGTGAAGAACTGCTTTTTCCCGTACCAGCCATCATCTTCATTTATACCTTGCTCCAGCCTGTATTATCAGGTGAATCCCTAGGGTGACTGTAGCTACCAAAATGACAAATAGCATTGTTCATTTGTGTGTTTTCCTTTTTTCTTGGCAGATGTGGCCCTTGTTTAAGGGTAGCTCCTGCGTTCAATGCTCTGAGCAATAAATATCCCCAAGCGACATTTTTGGAAGTTGATGTACATCAGTGTCAGGTATGTAGTGCTGTATATGTATATTTGGCTGTATATGAATGAACAAGATTCACGGATTTGGAAATGTCAGATAAATTTTATGTAGAGTTCAGTGACTTCAATAAATATAACTACCACAATGAGAGACTATAGATTTGTATATCAGGAAGCCTATTGTGGCTTACTATAGATAAAACTTTAAAAAAATGTATTAACTGTCCAACAGACCATGTTTTGTTGGATATAATTTCTATAATAAATTGTCTGCTATCTTTACTTTAGCTTACTTTCCATTTTACTGTATGTTGGATATCAGCCTAAGGAAGAATTTGAAAGTTTTTGCCTTTGTTTTACCTGCTCCATTAGCTGTTGTGTGGCATCTCTTGGTCGTGTTTAAATAGGCCAATTTGACAAAACCTAGTTAAGAGTAATCATAGTAGTCACATTCAAGAAGCACAGGTTGCAGTCAGAAATGAATGTATCCAGTCTTTCAGCGTTTGTAGTAGAGTATCCCGTTTAAGGAGTTATAGTGTCCTCCCGATGCAAAGTTATGGTTTATTTTATGTCTGGGTACAGATAAATGGAGGTTGTTCTGCTGTTCTTAAGTGCTCCTTTACATTTTCTTAATTCCAATAGAAGAGAATATAGGGTTGAACTGTGGAGTCCTTGGAGCTCTCTGAGCTTGGTTGTTTGCCTGCAGACATTTCATTACCCAGCTAGGTTACCTAGTCGGGTAATGAATGTCTGCAAGCAAACAACCAAGCTCAGAGAGCACCAAGGACTCCACATTTTCTTAATTCCTTGTTTTTAATTCTTATGTATATTTATACGTGATACATTTGAGACACATTGCATGATATTTCATTTTTTGGTAAAACACTCTAAGTTTGTATTAGTAAAAAAGTGGGAAATGAATGTTACGTGATAATAATAGAAGTGCTGTGTGATGGAAAGTTCTACCAAACTATTATAATGACTCAACAACAATTCCAGCTATAGCTAACCTGCCACGTTGCAGGGTTGAAATAGGGATTTAGATTTTCAGGACTCACTGGAAAAAAAAGTGGTGGCTGTTCAGACCTTTGCATTTCATCCCACCTTGCAGGAGCCTGTTATAATGTTTCTGCTTGCTGATGCTTCAGCCTTTTATCTCCCATTATTTTGCCAACAAATACTAGTTATTAATATTGAATCCATTTTTCTCCAGCATTGCACAATCCATATAGCATGTTTGGCTTGTGCTGCCTGAGTTGGATAATACCACTTAATTAAACAGAGAAAATGGGAACAATTAACTATAGATATTGTGCCATAAGGGTTACATTGTTAAACTTAAAGTATTAAGGAGCTGTTATATGTTCTCTCTTCTGAACGAATGGTTTTCTGAATCTAGAGTACATATAACCATACCCTTACTCTTACTGACATTTAAACATTTGAAAAGTTCAGTTAAAGTAGTTGAATCTTGAATAATAATTTGGTTGAAATTAGGTCTGAAAAAGTACAACAAAAATAGGGGAAAAATAACATTGTAACTTTTTATACTGAGGCATGATTATATATCCACATTGATCTTTCATTGATCATATGTTATTCACATATAAACATTCATATAGGAAACTTGTCCCATATTTAAAAATAAATGCAAAGTTTGGAGAGGAAAGCATGTCACATTCAGATTTATTTCCTTATGCATAATTTACAGACATCTCTATCTTGCACTGAGTGTATGATTTTTGCTGTGAAGTGGTCACAGTGCTGTAGAAATAGCTCTGGGCTGTTTCAGATGGAGGCGTCAGCCAAGAACTTAACAATGTGCCCATTCATTTCATCTTCCTATTCCCCTTCCCCATCAGTTTCAGTGCTTCATCATGGGATTAACCTGATTGGTATTGGTTTATAAGTGGAGATTAATTCAGTATTCCATTTCAAATGTAACAGCAAAGTGGTTTAATCAAATCCTAATAGATGTTCTGAAGTTGATTCACCAGAGGAAGAGAATATGGATTTATGCTCATTTAAAAGATCATTGAGTCTTAAGTATTTCAGACATTTGGAACATGCTAAACTACTTATGCTGCCCAGAGTTGCAATTGTTTGAGTTAGGCACTGTATAAATCTCATAAATAAACAAATAGTGTTTTCATCTTCTAAATTCAGAACAGAAAAAACATGAAGATGCTTTTCTGCTTTAATTCTCAGTACTCAGATTCATCCTCTCACTTTTGTTTTGATGGTGTAGCAACCTCTGGTTGTGGAGCAGTGTTTATAAGGTCCATCAATTTAAATATCTTTTCAGAGTAGCAAAACAAGGTGATTCCTTAGTTATTTGCCAGTGAATTAGCTTTTGGTTCTACATTGAATCATTTTATTTATTTATTGTATTTGTATGCCGAAGGGCTCAGAAACAACAACTGGCGGTTTATATCATAGAACACAATAAAAACCTAAATGAAAATATGAACAGAAGTCTGCCACAAATACAATATACAAATGGTGACCTCTGGAACAGATCTGTCTTTAATAGTTTCTGGAAGGCCAAGCCTAAGGATGTCACCCTAATTTCCAGAAGGAAACAATTCCATAATGTAGGCACTACAACCAAAAATCTTTGCTTTTGATCCCACCCCACCCCACCTCCCGGGGGACCATTAAAAGATGGTGGTAGCACGTGCACAGGGCAAGTTGAGCAGGTCTGTCCTATGTAGAGACAGTGATCCTTTAAGTTTCTCAGTGTCAGGCCCATACAGGGTTTGTATAGGTTAGAATCAGCACTTTGAATTATACCTGGAAACTAAATCAGTAACCGATGCAGCAACTGTGAGGCAGGTGCTGTAAGATTATAGCAACTTTGATTTACTAATGTACAAGCCAGCACATTTTGTACCAGTTGCAGTTTCCAAGCGCTCTTCAAAGTCAGCCCTGTGTAGAGCGCACTGCAGTGATCCAAGAGAGTGATAAGTGTATGAATGACTGGGCAAGGGCTTCCCACTGCAGGTAGGTTGCAATTGGCGCACCAGCTGCAGCTGGGCAAAGCTCCCCCCTCATAGCCTCCAGCTGCCTTTTAAAATGTTTTTGTGCAGTGCTAATTACTGGTTTTCTCCATGTTAGGGGACAGCTGCCACTAACAATATATCAGCAACTCCAACATTTCTTTTCTTCCGGAACAAAGTGCGTATTGATCAGTATCAAGGTGCTGATGCTGTGGGATTAGAAGAGAAAATCAAACAGCACCTAGAAAATGATCCTGGAAACAATGAGGATACCGATATTCCAAAAGGATACGTATGTGCATCTTATTTGAACATTATTTTAATATACTATTATTATACAATATTGGTAACTTTTCTTCAGGGCGGAATGTTTGAACATAAATGAAAGCTGTTTCCCACCTACAACGGTTTCTGAGATTTCTCTTTCCATTGCTAAAAACAGTTTCAGAAAATTAGGACATTTCCAAAACAGTCTCTGATGCAGCATGAGAAGCAGCAGTCAGAAATTCAGAAAGTCAATAGGCAGGCAGGCTGGCTGGCCAGCTGGCTGGCCAGCCTGATCTGTATGCCATTCTTTCATTGATTTCCTCTGAATATATGTTTGTTTTCATGGCCTATAAGATTGGTGGCTAATAATCCCATTTTACTGGGAGTTTGGATCTAGTGAAATTAGATCATCAGTAGTAAGACCAATTCAGCATAAAATCTATTTGGTAGCATTAACTGTTAGGTATTTCTAGGGTTTGGTTGTGCTTTGGATTTTTTGGTAAATTTGGGGCACAGTCCGCTTGAAGTATCTTGCTTGGACAGGCATCCTGAAGACAGATAGCACTCTCCTTATAATTCTGTAACAAGTCCAGGGAGGAATTTATTTCTAGTGGATTATGTCTTTTTATACTGTGGTTCTTCTTGGGGTAACAAGCTCAGTGTGTTTTGCCATCATTGTGGTTTGTAATAGTTACAGATGGCACTGGATGGAGTTAAAGAGCTTAAAATTTGTATTGACTCAGGGTGAATGTAGGTATGCAGAAGAATGTGGTAGTGGAAGTGGTTATCAGTCACCTAGATCACATTTTTATAATACTTGACGTTAAAAACTATTTAACAGCAAAATTTGAAATAATATGCAAGCAAAGGACTGAGCTTAGACTCCTCATCAGGATCCTTATTTTTTATCTATTTTGCTTAAAAAAAAAGTCATTTTAGTATCAAGGAACATTTGAAAGCTATATCACTCTTGCCCTCCAAATGCCAGTTGTCTGAAGTGGTACAGTCCTTTCTCTCCTCATTCTGCTACAGATGTAACCATGCCCAAGTGAGCAGTGCTTAAGAATTTTGGAGTGCATGCTTTATTTTTATAATAGTGTTCAGACCATTCCAGATATATTACTACAAACCAAACAGATGGTGGCTTAACTGAACTGTTATTCATAAAAGAATGGGAGGAATATGACTGCCATATAAATTTCCTGAAAGGAAATTCCCTGGAGAAGCTTGGCTATCCTTAGACAGTGGAAAAGGAGAAAAAATGTTGGTACAGATTACATGGTGTTTGACTTGTATCGGAAGAGAGCAGATCTGAATTCTGCCACGTGTCACGAGATAGTCTGCAGGATCAAGAACAATCCACCTCAAGGGAACCTACTGTTCAGTAATAGTGAATTTTTGTATTCAGTGGCTTAAAGACTGCATCAGTAATTATGATGTACCTGGATCAGTTGTCATTTGTTCTTACACCAAGCCCAAACCAAGCAAACCATATTAGGCCTTATTGTGACAGTTATTTGGAACATAACCTCATTCTCATTTTTGAAAGATGACATAGTAAAACTTTGGTGGGCCTTTCTGTAAGAGGAGAGAACCATAGTAGCTTGGCAGAAATGTTAGTACAGATGTGATCCTGGTCAAGGAGAGGTGGAGCATCTGTATGGAAGTGGAAGGAATCCATACCCCATCAAATTCTTACCCATCAGCCCCTGAAACCAGGAAAGAAACAAAGGATTTTTAAAGGATTTGTTTTTCTTTTTTGGTCTTTTTTGTCAAGCACCATCTTTGGAATTTGCTCTTGGGCTAAGAAGAATTTGCTCTCAGCAAATGCTTATCATGTTTTCCTTGTTCAAGTCTTACCTCAGGGTTCCTGAATGTTGCAAATCATGATCTTGTTTGACAGCAAGAATGACACATGCGTGTAAATGAGAACCTTAATGTGACAAAACACTCAACTAGAGCTGTCACTTTCACTGCAGTTTCTAAGCAGCATTTGATATGTTCCTCTTAAGAGGGCTCAGTTTTTGCCTCTTGCCCCAAATACTAATACAGAGTTACCAACAGTGCAGGAGGTCAGTAGGTGCGCATTTTGCTACTGCAGTGCCTGGCGCATTTGTTTTTAGTATTAGCAAATGCAAGCCATTAGACATTGCTGAACACTGGTATTTGCAGAAACCTAGAATTATGTTAGATGCAAAAACACATCTCTTTTGAGATGTTAGGTACTTGAAATTCACAGCTAAATAGAGACAAATCCTGTAATGTAAATACATCCCAGATTACCTTTCCAAATGCATCTTTCTCATGTAAATAACTCTCATGAATATAGGGCACTTGAATTTGCACCAGTTCAATTTGCAAATGTTGCCTATACCACTGTCTTCTCATTGCGTGTCTAGTGTGAATGTAAATAGTCATGCTAATAGTTTACATAAAGTGCTATTTAGCAGCTTTGACTTGAGAAGAGGCAACCTGTTAACATGATAGTTGGTTTTAAAACTGCCTGCCACAAATGGACAATTACAGAAAAGCAGGAAGTTTGTGTGTTCAGCTAAATAAGGAGGGTTTTTTCCCTACTGCCTTTTATTTATTTACTGTATTTATATACTGCCTTTTTCCCAAAAATTCAAAATTTGTTTACAACTTTAATAACTGCTTATTGTTTTAAGAGACTCTAGGTAGTGCCTTACACGCCATAGCCAATTAATGAAAGCTGCTATCTTTTCCTTCCAGATGGACTTGATGCCATTTGTTAATAAAGCTGGTTGTGAGTGTCTTAATGAAAGTGATGAACATGGATTTGATAATTGTTTACGTAAAGACCCTACTTACCTGGAATCAGACTGCGATGAGCAGGTATTCTGTCAAAAAATAATTAAATTGTCTGGACAGTAATAGTATATTTTGCACTAGAACAATGCTCCCATCTGTGTACCTATTTAAGTCACCTGCTCTCAGTCCGTCCATTCTGTGGATGTAGACACAAGGGAAGACGTAACCAAAAACTTGTGCAGCAGTGCTGTTTGCCATGCATTTGGGCTCCCTGATATCATTTTTTTCCCTTTCCTCCACAGTTGCTTATTACAGTAGCTTTTAATCAACCGGTCAAGCTTTATTCTATGAAATTTCAAGGGCCTGATAATGGTAAGTAAAAAAAAAAAAAAGAATTATTCCTTAAGGAGAAATTCCACTGGTACTATGTTTAGTTCCATGTTGACTTTAACAATGCAAAGACAAGGTACAGCTTCCTTTTCTCTGGTCTGGCTCTTTCTGGTTCTCCACATTGCAGGACAAAGCTAGAATAAATTAATTGAAAATATATTATAATCAATGCATGTAGAACTTTGCAAAACAAACTATCCGGCCCTGTTTGAAGCAGTTGTGTTCCATGGTCACATAGATAAGATGATAAGATAGATAAGATAAGATAAGATATTCTTAATGGAACCATTTTTTTTTTAGTGTTAGTTTGCCTTTGAGTATACAACGTATGTAATCATGTGCAGTTTTCATTAAATAAATAAACCATAAGAGCAGTCATGGAAATGAAAACTGGATTTTGCCTTGATAGTGATACTTTATCTTTCATGTTTGGCTTGTGCTTAACAGTTTGTTTGCAGAGGTATGCAAAATGTTTCATTTTAAAATACTTTCAGGGTGAAATTTCACAAAATGTCCTGTTTCAAACACAAAAGTCAGCCACTGAACATTTTGGAAATGGCTTGAGCTTAAAAATTGTTTTAAACTCAGACGAGCTCTGGCTCACGTGGGGTGCTCAAAACAGGCTCCTCATATTCAGTGCAGGAAATTTCATGAAGTGCTATGCTTTTGTGTACAGGAAGTCCTCACTTCATGACTGTTCGTTCAGTAACCATTCAAAATTACGATGGCGCTGAAAAAATAGACTTATGACCTGTGCCCAAAATTACAACCATTGCAGCGCCCCTGCAGTCATGTGATCAAAATTTGGACGTTTGGCAACCTGCTTGAACTTACGACCACAGGGGTGCTTCAACTCCCCCCACCCGCCTATTTCCCCTCCTCATTTCTGCACTTTTGGCTCCTTGCCGCCCTGTGCTCTGTTGCCCCAGCTGACCTTCACTGCCATCTTCTTGCTGCTGACAAGGCATGCTGGCCTAGCTGCTGGGCCCTGTGGGGCTGGCTTTACACTGTGAAGAAGGGGGAAAGAGCCAAAAGCAGCCTTTTTCCCCCCTTCTTCGCAGCACTTCCTATCCTTGGGGGCTGGCTGAAAAAACTCTGTACCAAAATC